CACACACACACACACACACACACACATACACACAAACACACACATAAACAAACAAACATACATACACTCACACACACATAACGTGCACGTATACGTTAAAGCGCAATAAGTCGGTCATCTCTGCACTAATTTCAACGAAACTGCGAACAGAAGTCACACCACTGGGACGTCAAGTTTGTAAAGGTGAAGAAAAAAGTCAAGGCATCGAGTAATATCAAGTTTTGACAATTTTAAGTAAAACTGGGTAGAAAGAAAAAAATTAAAACTTAACTTTTTTGAAAAACGTTACGAGGACGGTAAAACCACGACAGTCACATTAGATCGGTAGAAAGCCTAGGTAGGGGTGGTAGGGGCTTATCTCACCGTGCTGAGTATTCTGAGAGAAGTAAGGGGAGGAAAAGGTGTTCTTTTGTTGGGGAGGCCTGGTTCCTGTTAATTAAAAGGTGCCACTCCCTAGACACCCGACGTCAAGAGTGGCCCTTGTATGGTTGCAAGAAAGGTTTGAGGATCGCCTTTAGCCGAACACTGAGAAATGAACGAACACTGAGAAATGAATGGACACCGCGTTCCCCCAACTTCAACCCTATAATTATTTTTTTGACATACAGAGTTTTACGTAAACAACCCTCAAACAATTGAACAGTTGAAATTTATTGTTGAACAGGAGGTCCGTGAATCAACCAGAAAACATACGATATAGAGGAGGTTGACATTCTGGAAACTTGAAACTACTACTACTACTAATTTCTCTTCGCTCGAGGAATTTGAACACGGGTTACCAAAGAGTTTCATGAAACAACTTGTGAAATAGATATTACGGCACATTTCTTTAAACTAGTACATGCATATCAAGAGCATAAAGAACAGCCTACTATAATATTATGTTTCTTATAATGAAAATGTTCTCATGACCAAAGGTATCCAATGGTTAGTGAATCTCAAGGATTACATAGGGTGTCAAATGAATGAAAACTTCAAATAATGTGTACCATTGAAAATCATGGTAAAAGCATGCCACGTGAAAATCTATCGTGCACGGCCTCTGTTGGATAATGGCCTCCAGAATAACTGATATAAAAAAGTGAAACAAAACCTCCAAAAGCCAAAAACGTACAGTTGAAGTTCGTTGGTGATACATTTTGAGACCTACAAACTTCTCTTAATCTTGTATATATTATTTTTCAGTGGGCTCTATTGGGGCCTTAGACAAAATGCTTCAGTGATCCTTGTACCATTGTCGGTGAATAAGTTGGACAAGATAATTTACGACCTGGGAGTCATTATAGGCTTGTATGTATTGGCAGGCGGACAGACACATGAATGTTTGGTGAACAGACACAGACACACATGACATGTATGTATATGTTTATGTGTGCAATATGTTTGCACTCAGTCACCTCGTATCTATCTACCTATCTATCTA